TTTTGAAACCCTTATGTATATTTACATCATTATATATTTCTTACCCCACCCCCACATGATCCTATATCCATCACCAATCGTATACACATCGAATTGTGCTAATTTACTACAAAGTTACGCAAAGCAGCATCTACTATCTAAAATATGTACTGCGTGACTCTTAATACGTCCCTGCCGAATGTTACAGCGTTCGATGATCACGTGGTCTTGTTTATGTCCGGTCTATCTCTTATCTGAATATACTGTAGTGTAATTTTACAGTTTTTTCCAACCAATTTCTTTCAACTTTGCCGATATATGATCATATTTCCTTATTCCATAAATAAACAGACAGCAAGAATTTTGTAGACGTATCTTCATCAAACTGTCCAGGCAGCTGGAATATGTCACAGTAATGAATTTGGGGCATGATTAATGATTCGGATAAGGAGCATAAATCACGAATCTGATGTCAATTTGTCGCTCAGATCAACTGGCGGCACGTTAACATTTTGTTACCCTAATGTTACAACGTCGCATGTAGCATTGTTCCTATTTTGAGATAAATCGATTTTAAAAAATTGTTTTAGTTTTAAGCCTTAATTTAAATATATGAATGGTTTTAATTTGCAAGCGGTGTTCATAGTGGTCAATTTAAGAGTTCGTAGTGTAATTTCTTTCCAGAAAAAAATGTATTTTTTTAAAGGAAACATGGAATTTTGGTACTCTTAAAGTCAACAATTTTCCTTAGCTACGTAGCATAGAACTTTGGCACTTGAAATGATGCTACATGCTAGACTTTATTTGATCCTAAAAATAGACTAGTAGTATTGTCTATCCATCTCAGAAATCCACTTGTACAACGATCTTTGTAGAGGCAGTTCACCACTGCTGTCACATTTTTTAAGTTCCAAGTTTCAGCCGTAACGGGTTGTGTTCTTCGTAGTTTTTGCTGGTGCAGACTTACGATTTTGTTGTTTTAGAATCGTCTCCCATTTTAAATAAATCTTTATATTTCAGCTCAAAAAGCTTGTTGAAAATTGTAAACATACGTCTTTCGAAAACGGGACTACATTGTAGTTTAATTGACTTGAATAATACTGAAAGTCTATGAAGTCCTCTTTTTTCACTATTTTTCTGAATATGTAATTGTAAAAACGATCATACATACAGTACAATAACACGTATTCGGTATACCTATGCAAGGTTGTATGTTACAACGGTGTAATATTTTCTTGAGTTTTAATTAATTTATTACAAAGTTCTATGTTTAACACACACCTATGGTATACACAAAAGATATATTTTCCAACATGCACCCTTGATTTTCTGTTGATAACCAAGGTTCTATGTTAGCTAGAAGGTTTCATTCCAAGTTTAAAATATAGTAATTGTCCCATAGAACTTCGTAATACCGAAAAGCCGAAAAAGTTTTCAATGTCACATACAACCTTGTAATATTAGGGTGACGATTTTTCGATGTTCGACAACTATCTATAAAAATACAAAATTTAAAAAATTATTGCGTCCATAATTTCGATTGAATGTCGATTCTGGGTTTAATCAGCTGCGAAGATCACGAATCTAATATACAGGGTCCCCCAATATTCCGTGGACATAGAAGTACCACGTATTTTTAGATTAAAAATCGGATTGGATTGGACATGATTTACTTCCATGCAAAAGTGCTTCGTTTGTCTGTTAGAGGGAGTTTTTTAATAGAGACTTAAATTTATGATGATTTGCTGTATTTCTAATATTGTAATATTTAGCGGCGTTATATGAGTAAAAGCGCTGAAACATGGCTGTGCGATGTCTTGGTATTGATACCTTAAATTTAATCATGAATGCTTAATCAAAAAGTTAGGTTGTTCCATAGACGCAGTGGCGAATGAGCGATTATAATAAATTTTATAAATGACAAATAGTTTAATCATACTAGCAAATTTCCCCGAAATAATTGTAAAGTCTGGTTTTATTGATGCAAGTTATACGAGGGGGTATTTAAAACATGGACGCATAAAATGGGTACACCAATTTTTGTGGGAAAAGTTTTTGTTCGACAACAAAGAATGAGAAAACGTGTTTTTTGGGATTCAATCTAAAGTGTCGACAGGAACGAAAAAACTCTTCAGATAAGATTTTAAAGTATTTATGAGACCTACAAAATGAGACCACACGTAAAAAGATCCGACTAATAGCAAACACGTTATGGCCGAAAAATGAGGCAAAATGCAACTTTGCCACTTGTGTAATTTCACGCAACTACTTGAAATTCTTCAAATCCGTAGTATTCATACTTCTAAACAACCACAACAAAATTGGAGTAGATTGGTCAAGTAGTTTTTGTGAATCTAATTGTTTATCCCAAAACACCTTTTTTTCCTGTCATCACTACTAGAGCAATGTACAGAGTTCGTTCAAAGGGCATTTAACAGCAAAATACACAAGTTTACCGTGCCGATATGAATCACAAACCATTCCGATTTTTTTTATTTGTTAACCGGCAACAAAATTTGGAATTTGTCTGTAGGTGAACATTTGATTTGAAGGATAATTCATTACGACTCTACATGAAATTTTGGAAATTATTAATGATTCACATAAACGCTTTTTTGTTTTAAAACTGAGGAAGTGCCTGTTGGTATATAACAGTTTCAACCTAAAATAACGCTGTTAACATGCGTGCGAAAAGATGTGTCTTCGTCTACGAACGAACCCAAATGCATACATTAATTACTAAATTTTAAATATGTGCCGCCTATCTTCAGGCTTTATTTTAGATGTCTCAGTTTTTTCTGGTAAAAAAGTACATTTGATTTCTGCGGATTGAGTTTCATGTTATTAATGGCAGAATAATCATTAATACTTTCGAGATCAGTATTGATTTTAGGCTCAGCCATTTTAAAATCATCAGGAGGAAAGCTTAACAATAATTGGGTATCATCGGCATAACAAGTTACACTAGAGATTCTAATTTTGACGACCAAATCAAATGTATATATTAAGATCAAGAGGGTCGCTAAGACTGAACCTTGTGGTACCTCTGAAGAAACATTTTGTAAATTTGAAATACTTGTACCCAGAACCACCTGTTGCTATCTGTCTTTAAGACATGACTCTAGAAAACGTAGTGCCGGTTTATCAAATCCAAGATAAGTAAACTAGAAGTAGATCATGGCTTATGGTATCGAGTGCCTTACTAGAATCGACAGAGACAATAGCTGTTGCCAGGTTGTTATCTAAATTGGAGATTATATCATCAACTATGACAGACAGTGCAGAAACAGTGCTACGTCCTCTTCGAAACCCGAACTGCTCCTCAGGCAATATATTGTTGGTACAAGTAGACTCTGAAATTTATCGATTATTTTTTCTAATAATGGGTGATTTTTTTGCTAGTATCTCTTTGGCAACACTGTTTTTGACAGATGACGCGTGAATCGTGTCTTGTGTGATTGTCAAACTTGTTCAGTTTGGTCTATAATTTAACCATGAATCGACTTACGAACGAACAACGCTTGCAAATTATTGAATTTTACTATCAAAATTCATGCTCGGTTAAGAGAGTGCATCGAGCACTGCTTCCAATTTATGGGCAATTTGGTCGGCCTACTGAGGGAGCTATTCGGAAGCTTGTGACTAAATTTCGAACCCAGTTTACATTATTGGTCATTAAACCACCAACACACAGACGTAGAGTGAGGACTGAAGAAAATATTGCGGCTGTATCTGCCAGTGTTAGTGATGACCGTGAAATGTCGATTCGCCGCCGTTCGCAGCAACTGGGCCTCTGTTACTCCACTACGTGGAAAATTTTGCGACAGGATTTGGGTGTAAAACCTTATAAGATACAGCTGGTGCAAGAATTGAAGCCACACGACCTCCCACCACGTTTCCCATTCGGTGAATGGGCGCTGGCAAAGTTGGAGGAAGATCCACATTTTTATCGAAAAATTGTGTTCAGCGACGACGCTCATTTCTGGTTGAATGGGTGCGTTAACAAGCAAAATTGCCGCATCTGGAGTGAATACCAGCCAGAAGCATTGCAAGAGCTACCAATGCATCCCGAAAAAATCACTGTTTGGTGTGGATTATGGGCCGATGGCATCATCGGGCCGTACTTCTTCAAAGACGACAATGGCCGGAACGTAACTGTGAATGGGGAGCGCTACCGTGCGATGATAACAAACTTTTTTTTGCCCAAAATGGAAGAGCTGGACTTGGCTGAAATGTGGTTTCAACAAGACGGTGCCACATGCCACACCGCACACGAAACAATGGCCCTATTGAGAGGCGAGTTCGTTGAACAGTTTATCTCACGTTTGGGGCCCGTCAATTGGCCGCCTAGATCGTGTGATTTAACGCCGTTGGACTATTTCTTGTAGGGCCATGTTAAGACTAATATTTACAGGGATAAACCAGCAACGATTGACGCACTAGAAGCCAATATTGAAGCATTTATTCGTGAGATACCGGCCGATATGTTGGAGAGAGTGTGCCAAAATTGGACCTTGCGCATGGGCCATCTAAAGCGGAGCCGCGGCCAACATTTACAGGAAATAATCTTTAAACATTAAATAATATCGACCGTTCTATCGTTTTGTGTGTTTTTTTTAAAATCAAATCCTATACCTCTTAAAAAATCACCCGTTACTTTGGGTAAAACGCTGATAGGTCTTAAGTCAGGAAGTGAGATAACTAGCGACACTTTCCATAGTTGGGGACAATATCCTGTCTCTATAAAGCAATTTACAACATGAACCAAGGGACTAGGAATGGCTCGGAGACATACTTTTATCGTTTGAACTCTGTTTGCACCATCTATGATCATTGTCTTGATACACGATATTTTCGCAAAAGCTTTATATTTTTTGTAACGGAAGACGAAAATGGAATTCAGACAACTTTGGACCGGAAGTGAGGTATCACTTTCAAAATAATGGAGCGCTAATTTTAGCACGCAATGAGAATTATCCCGAAAAATTCGAGTTCTTCGAATAATCTATAGAGGTACTTACTATTGGGGTTTGGTGACTGTGGGTGTGGCAATTGGTGACTTGTAAGCAGTTGTTCTGCACTCTGATGTTGCTGGGCAGCTGCTTGTGCAGCTAGAGATTTCCTGGGGTCCTCCCACGTGGTCGTACGGGTTGTGTGACTGAAACAAGAACGATTATCAGAGCTGTACACAATATCCAAAGTCAAAAGTACAAATTTCCAAGATTACGTCAATAGCAGCAGATGCTTGGAGGCTATTTGTTTAGGGCTACGCATGACCTCCTCACTCTATACAAGGCCCAAATAAGACCTAGTCTCGGGTATTGCTCACAACGTTTATGGTGTTGCCGCCGTTTATGCTCGATGCTGATCCACGACTCTTCTCTAACAGACAGTCTCGGGACCCTTTCGCACCGGCGGGTCGTCAGCGATCTAGCTCTCTTCTACCGCTACACCAACCGCCTTTGCTCCTCAGAGCTCTCCTCTATGAGGCTGCCGCCCGATGTGCCTGCCAGACAGACCCGCCCGACTTCGGCCTCGGATACTAACCGTGTCGAACTTCGTACGTCCAGAACTGGCCGATACGACCGCTCCTTTGTCGTGACTGTGGAACAATCTATAAGAGGAGACTTTTCCCAGTTCTACTACCTTAAGCAGTTCAAAAATCGGATTAACAAAATTTCTTTGGGATCTTCTCTGGTGCTTCGATGTAAAAAAAACTTGCCAATACGACCGTTCCTTTGTTCATAGGGTATCGCCAATATAGAATCAACTGTCAGAAGAAGATTCATACCTTCGACTTTCTTTATGGCGGTGAAGCACTCAAGCAAGAAACAGTGCCCAAAAAATACACTTAATCACTATGATTCTTTTTACATGTGCGTTATACAGGGTGTCCCGAAAATAACACGCGAGGGTGACATGGGAGGTAGATTGGCTTCAGAGCAATCAGATAAAATCAACATGACCTTAGTAAAAGTATTCTAGTTTTCGAGATATTGCCAATTTTAAGTTTTTTCAAAAAATCACTACTTTTTGCTCCTTTTTGCCTATTATGGCTAAAAAGAACTTCTAACTTTCGATTTTTTCCTGGCCTACCATTAATAGTTGGTTGCGACAAACGAGTATTTATTTCATTGAAAACTAGCACGGTATGCTAAAATAAAACTAAATTATTACAATTTGGTTTCAATGCGAAAACCTTTACTAAAGTTTTACTGATTGCCGTGAAAAAAATGTACCAGACTGAATCAGCAAATACCCTTAAAAATTTGCTATTTAGTGCTCTTTCAAAAATAGTGTAACATTTGTAGGTTTTTTTTACTAAAAACTGAATAATTCCAAGTTTTGACATTGAAATCGTAATACTTGCGAAACACTACAAATCGTTTTTTATTTTGGCAAATGCCCATTATACTTTTTTTATTCATTGTTGTATGCAGGCATCAAAATAATGAAAAGAACATTAGGTTGTATTTTTTTATTTCCATTGATGTTTACAACATTCACTTGGTACCGGCGCACCGCGATTACACCAACTACAATATCGTAATTTAGACACAAAAGTCAGCTGCGTATATTATTTTTTATTTGTTGTATTTCGCAAGTATTACGACTTCAATGACAAAACTTGGAATTATTCAGATTTTAGTAGAAAGAACCTACAAATGTCATGGTATTTGGAAAAGACCAATCAATAGCTAATTTTTAGGGTCATTTGCTGATACAGTCTGGAAATTTTTTTACACAATAATTAGTAGAACTTTAGTATTTTACTCAATAATTAGTAAAACTTTAGTAAAGGTCTTCGCATTGAAACCAAATGTAATAATTGTTTTTTTCAGCACACCGTGCTAGTTTTCAATGAAATGAATACTCGTTTGTCTCAATCAACTATTAATGGTAGCCCAGGAAAAAAAATCGTAGGTTAAAAGTTCTTTTCAACCATAACAGGCAAAAAATGAGCAAAAAGTAGGGATTTTTTTAAAGTGGCAATGTCTCGAAAACTAGAAAGCTTTAACTACGGTCATGTTGATTTTATCTGATTGATCTGAAGCCAATCTACCTCCCGTGTCACTGTGGTGTGTTATTTCTGGGACACTATGTATGTAAAAAAACACCTTGCTAAGCACAAACAAATATCTCTTCAGCTTTTCAAAATTCGCGTCAGGTTTATTAACTTTTTTATGTAAACACGCTGTACATCGCACCTCGGTATGAAAAAATCGGAACTCTTCCTAATTTTAGATTCATCCCCGATGTTACCTAGAACAATCTTAAGCGTGGCAACGCTGTAAGCGTTCCCACCCTGAATGGACTTTGGACTGCAAGAGACTCAATGGCCTCCAGCACCTGCTGCCATCTGTGATCGCTGTGCCTTAATAATGATCAGTGACGTACGGGTTCGTATTTCAAACCGGATAATAGTTACTGCAATGTTGGCGAAAAATATTTCAAATACATGTTTTTCGGCATGGACAATGAATGTTTTAAATAGTTGTAGTCGCCGTTCTTGGCAGGTCAAAGTAAGACCACCAGAATCCCTTTAAATATATCCATCTCCCTCATACATACCATTCAACCTACCCCTGTATGTGAACTTTTGTTCGGTAAGCTCAAAGACATACGTTTTTTAGTTGTGTGTCTCCGTCTGGAAAACTTTGTCGTTACGTATGAGTGCCATTCAATCATATTTGTCAGAGTGACAACTTACTTCACATCGGCGTACAATTTAAGTTGTCCTGTTATCAATGTTCAATATAAAATTGTACAATGCCCGGAAATAATTATTCGTGCTAAATTTATTAGAGTATTTCCAGGAAGAGAATGAAAACAGCGGTCCCCTGTTACCCACTTCATGCGTACTGAGAGAGTAGCAGATGCGCTGACGATTAAGATCCGCCCATGGTACGGATACTCGATCTGTTGGAACCAATTAGGCTTATAAGCCAGTGGATTCTCCACGAGAAGTTCTTTATTCAGCATATGGAGCACACTCATGCTTGGTCCCTCTCCCTGATCCATTTTCGGCACCAAATTCTTTTACGGTTTCATTTATTCCGTTTTCTCATGAGGTGGGCAGCTACAACGCAGGTCGCATATAATATATGCGAATAATGGCACTTAGAAGTTGACAGTTATTGTTATTTTTTGCCAACTGCGCATGATTTAGTACGAAATTTAGTACACAAATTTATTAACGTGTCAGAGGGGATTGTAACTGGTAAACAAATTGGGAACTAAATGCAGTAACGAATTTTTTCACGAAATTTGGTACCAAATTATGAACAAAATTTTGTATCGTGATAGATGGCCTTAAGAGTGAAGTACTAACCTGTGAAACGCGTTCCGAATTCCACGGCTGCCTGGTATTCGCGTACTCAAGCACCTTTTTGTCGTAAAGTCTTTTAATCTCGCTTTCCTGCTTTTACAGTAACGAATTATTAGAATGTTCACTTAGGAAAATAACTTTGTTATTAACGATAGCCGTGTTGAAATGTAAATAAAGTGCTCCCAGTGCCTCTATCGGCAATTAATGTAATTATTTTACAATTTGATCTAACATGCTAGACCACTTCGTCTATATCTTCGTATATCGTTAAACATCATGATCTGGCCAATAGATAAAGATACCTTTCATGAAATGCGACCATTTCCTGAAATGGTCAATTTTACGACAAATACAAACAACCAGGCAACACTAGGGGGTCGAAGACTTGCATTAGCCCTTAAGCAATGCTGAGAATTAGCAGATACCAAGTTAATGCCACCCTGGACTACTGGGCAAAAAGATAAGTAGTGGATGCGTGGTTAAGCAGAAATTACTGCAGGTGGGTCAAGAAGAGAGTCCAACATCGTGACTATTGAGCAAAAACAGAGCGTTAAAAGAAAAATCTTGCTGGGAAAAAGGTGAAACATTATTTCGTTTCCTAAATTCATTCAAGTATTCCGTAAGCACTTAAGGGGGCGGGGGGTCGTAGCTTTGCTTATTTTTGATGATATGGGGATGGAAAGTTAAAATGGCGATTACGTTAGCAATATTAATCTTTTTACTTTGTCGGATTTTCTATAAATTTAGATTTTCATGAAATATTCACACAAAGTTACTATTGCCAAGGATGAAAAAGCTTTGCAGTTTTAGAAAATCTATCTAGTGATGGCGGAACTACGGGCAAAAACACAAAAAAATAGAAATCACAATTCCGTTTTTTGACGTTTCAGAGGCTTCTGATCATTTTCGGACATTTCTTTCTGGGAATTGAAACTTGGGGATTATAGGTTGTAAATGTAACGTCTTTAGTATTAATCAAAAACGGGAAACAACGGAAAAATTAAATGATACATGTCCGATGAATAATTCGAAATAATTTAGCCAGTGCGTTCTAAACTCCAACTGGTCTGCGGGGGTGTCGTCACTGACAGACCGCTATAGGAGAAATATTTATATATTTTAACAAAAATTGGATATTAGGAGTACGAACCAATTGATATATACAACAGACACGGACTGACAAACCGACATAAATGAGAAACACGGACTTGTCTCATACAGATATCTTCAAGTAACAGAAAACTTGTGAACTGAAGAGTATTATCGTGAGTTTGATATTGCCAGTGAAAAACCTTCTATTTTATTAAGAAGCTGCTGATCTAGATCTACATCTGCCACGGAAACAGACATATGATAGATTTGCTTTACACAGTTTCATATGCAGAGGTGGAAGATTCATCGTACCTAAATGAACATATCTAATCACGATTCGATTTCGCCTTTTGAAACGATTTGACTAATCCTTTTTCTTCGAAACCTCCAAGGCGTACAAAGTATGGAGTCAATCTCAAGTAGATTGACCGTCATCTTTTGATTTCGATCCACAATGTGATAACTCTCTTTTGACCAATTGCGGCATAAAAACTATATAAACAGTATAAGTCATGAATCCTGCGACCACCACTGCGCCCCCTAAACAGATTCCTAAATCCGCCATTGATCCAGCATAATAGGCGATACTTTGATCCGTCAAAGCTAGATTCGTATCTAAAGCGTTTCCCTAGCGTCCGCCATTGAGTTTACAGTAAGCCAGACATGCGTGTGTATGTGTGTATATTTACCAAACAATATGCAACGTTGCCAGTTGCTTTGCCTTGCCTTTATTGGGT